CTATAGATGTGGTAGCGTCGAACATTATGCCAACACAAATGTAATAAAATTAATGTAACATTTAATTTCTGCAAAACCAGAGGTCATATTTCGAAAGTATGTATCAAGGCTAAACAAAACAACGCTGACGCAAACCATGTAGACGCAAATAACGAAGAGATCGAGAATATTTTCGAAAACATTTACGTACTTGAAACCGAGCAAACACAATACAGAGATAAATTTTCGATAACGCTTAGAATCGACGGTAAAAATATACAATTTGAAATAGATAGTGGTGCTGCTGTTAGCGTAATATCTAAAAGCAAGTTCAACAATATTTTCAAAAGCAAAGAGATTTTTTATACGAATTTAAAATTATTAACGTATTTGCGGGCAAGAATTAAGCGTTATCGATTACTCATCTGTTAACGTCGACTACAACAGTAGAATTTATAATTTAAACATTTACATTGTAAACGAAGAGAAAAATACGTTACTTGGTCAGGAGTGGATACGTCAATTACATTTGGATCTTTGGCATAAGATCAATAATTTACAAGAAGATTCTATAAAAAGTACATTACAAAATTTAGTATTTATTATTAAGTAAATATAGTAAAGTTTTTGGAAAAGAATTAGGTAGAGTTCAGAGCATACAAGCGCGGTTGAAACTAAAAGAAGGTGCCCAACCTAAATATCTGCGAGCTCGTCTAGTGTCGTTTGCAATCAGGCTTAAAATTGAGGACAAATTAAATTAGAAAAACAAGGCATTATTAGCAAAGTTGAAAGATCGGATTGAGCCACTCCGATAGTCCCCGATCATCAAAGTAAATGGAAGCGTTAGAATATGTAGCAAGTACAAAATCACGGTGAATCCAAACTTACAAGTTGACGATCATTCGGTTCCGACTATAGACAAATTGTTTGAAACTATGGCAGAAGATCAACAATTCACTAAGATAGATATAAACAAAGCGTTTTTAAACGTAGAAATACATCCAGACGACCGTCAATTATTCACAATCAATACTCATAAAGGGTTATACACATGTAACTGGTTAATGTTCGACATAGCATCGGCCCCCGCAATTTGATAGCGGGAAATTGAAAAAATCTTGGCTGGGATTGAAGGCATCGGAGTTTTCTACGACAATATTAAAATTACCGGACCTACAGACGAAATACATTTAGCGCGTTTAGAATCAGTCTTTTTGCGATTAGCTAAATACAATTTGCGAATTAATAAAGGAAAATCAGAATTTCTAGTTAGTAAGATCATGTATATTCCGCAGACATCGAGTACTAATACCGAAAAATTAGAAACGAAATTCGAAAAGAACTACACATAGGGCATTTTGGCGTTACCAGAATGAAAGAATTAGCGCGTAAATATTGTTGGTGGAACGGCATAAACAAATCGATCAAAGAAACTGTAAAAAATTGCGTAAATTGCCTAAGAGTCGCAAAAGAACTAACTAAAGTCAAAATACAACGGTGGCCGGATTCGAGCTTTCCATTTGAGCGTGTGCAGATCGACTATGCCGGACCACTACATAACTCTTATTATTTCATTTTAGTAGATTTATTACGCGCTGGCCTGAAATATTTATAATAAAAGATATGTCGACCGGAACGACAGTTCGGATTCTACAAGAGATATTTTTACGTTTTGGATACCCGAAAATCCTACTTAGTGATAACGGCCATCAATTTGTCGCTAATAAAGCGGAAAAACATAAAACTTGTGCGATTTACTTTTACAGTGCCGTAAAATTCCTTATAAAACCTGCACCAAGTAACTTAATGTTTGGAAGACTCATTAAATCTAAAATAGATTCAATTCTTGAAGTAAACAAAGAAGTCAATCAAAATATAAACTCCGTCCATTATCTGAAAAATTTTTGAAAAGGGGATCGAGTTGCCGTCTGCAAATACAGTAATACTGAAATGGAGATTCGGGAGAATTTATGATAGACTGGGACCGCTTCATTATTTGGTACAGTTTAATGATATGCGAACATAGAAACGCCATATTGACCAAATTTGGAAAATAGTCGAAAACGTACCGATCTTGATCCAATTTGAGTCAAATTCACGTTTCACGGAGAAGCCAATCGAACAAGGCGATTCCTCAATTTGCGATGACGTAAATAAAAATGCGGAAATTGCCAACGGTAATAGCGATAAAAAAATAACCGCGCCAACAACTACAAAAGAATCTCCGACAGTCCCGGCGCTGCAAAGATCCAACAGAACTCGAAAGGTTCCAGAACGATTGCGTTATGAATAAACAACACTAATGAGTTGTGTATATAGCAAACAATTTCACGTACAAGGGGAGGAGTGTTAAGGTGCTGCATGTGCACTCGCATCTGTTTTAAATATAAGCGCGGCTATGTGATTATTGTAATTGCTACGATAGCGCTGCTATCATCGTGGATTGCGTGTGTAGAACGTATGTCAAACAGTCGCTGGGCGACCTCTGACATGTAAGCACTGTCGTAATTTTGGATTAAGAATATATTTATTAAATATCCACTAAAAGCTATACGTTTTTATTTTCCGTAACCTCACAACATTGCAAACATCGCAAATAGAACAGACACAAAGAGAGAGAAACAGAAGAAAAAATATAAAAAACAGGAAAAAATATAAAAACAGGACATCAAACTAGTATTCTAGAACATTGCAGGAGTGAGAAGGAAAAAAAGAGAATTTTGAGAATATTTGGAAGGATATGATGTGATTAAAAAACATGATCATTGCTTTCTTAGACACGGATTGTCGAGCCTGGGACGTACATTTGAACAATTTTCGCGTATAACACCGCGCATCATACGTTGATCGGTGCCTTGCCTGCATTTTTGAGCCTCCGAAAGGAATTAACACCCACAACTTCATTGTGTCGACAAAATAATCAAGTGACGGAAGTCGAGCAACAATATCCCGACAAATGGCCTGCTCGAATGCACGAATTACAAACTTTGCATCAGTGGGTGAATGAGAATTTAAAGTAAATGTTTACAAAAACGGACTCAGCCTCGATGACTTTGACCTTGATACATATATTGTCAAAGACATCTCTAAGTAACAATCGAAAGATTTTAGCCGTCGTTTGCTCTTCATTAAAAAGTTATGATCTTAAAAAGTTGTATCGAGTTTACGTATACTGTCTACGTATATACTGTCTATACACATAAATATGCATGTTTTTATACGTAAAAGATTTACAAAAAAAATATTACAAGTTCACTTATTTATTGAATGTAGTCTGCTCATTATTTAAAAAAATATCAATATGTTAGAACTTCAGGAAGAACTTCGATAAACAAGAACTCATGCGAATTTATAAGTATGAGACGAAATAAATAGTGAAACTGATAAATAATGTAAACATTCAGAAGAAACATTTATGCACTATGTTCGTGTTGTAAGCGTGTAGAAGCAGAGAGGTTTCGCCCCCTGCCTCTTCTCCTTTCCTCACCCAAAAAAACTTAACCTAACCTAACCTACCCAACTTGTGTTACTACAACATCATTAAGAGTAAGTGAAGTTTTTTTTGGAAGAGGAGCGAAGCTCCTCTGCCTGCACGTGTACGATAGTGTGCAATACAAATAAAATATTTACTTCTCAAATGTATAAGGGTCGAAAAATGAAAGTTTACGTTGTAGAAGTGCTAGGCGCGAGACAGCGCCTGCGCAGATATACTGAGAGCGCACGCGCAAAAGCAGGCGACACACGACCAATACCTATATAACAAACTCGTGCATAAAGCTCAAATATACAGCAACAAAACTTGAACTGTGTGTGTTATTTAATCTTCTACTACATACAACATAGCGCAATTGGTGATTAACTAACAGATGACTACAAAAGTTACACTAGTTAAAAAGTGACATTAGATAATCGAACAAAAGAATTTGGCTCAAGAAAAGGTTAGAATAGTGAAAAACAGAAGTCAGTTTTCTGACAAATTACACTTTAGTTAAACAGTATTTCTCACGATAAAATCAAAATATCCACCGCCACTAGATTTTAGCAATAACATTGTTGAAAATTAGAAAAAATTCAAGCAATGGATTCATATACAATATCAAGAGGCACGGTGTGTCTCGCGCCAACTTCGCGCAACAAAGTGGCGCTTGAACTTGGCGCGAGCACACCGCGCTTATTATACGCGAAAATCAGGCACTTCAGTAAAGGAGAGATATTTAATCAACAATTTTTTAATAACAAATGAATTGATTGACTTCTTTTTAGTCTCGTTCGATTTGTATTGAAAAAATGAAGAAAAAAGTATTCTTGCGGTTTTTTGGTCTGTAGCTTCTGAACGAAGATATTTGAAGATAATCCAAAAAACTGTTGAAATTTATTTTAAAAAACGTGGTCATTACTAAACTTTTAGGAATGTCAGGAATGTGTGCATGTTCTTAGTGCTTCTAAGAGATGGCGGTATGAGCACGTTAAACGAAAGAAAAAGAAGAGAATTTTAATATGTGATGAGAGAGAGAGAGAGGGAGAGAGAGAGAGAGAAAGAGAGGAAGAGAGAAAAGGAGTATAAAACGGAAAAAGAATTAAAAGAAGAAGAATGTGAGGAAACGGAGGTCCCCTTTTTGCGAGCTTACATAAGTAGAAGTAGTTTGAGTAGGATAAAAATGTAGAGAAAAAAGAAAAAATGCGAATGTAGAAATGCGGCAAACTGAAAGAGATAAGAACAAAGCGTATGTACGTGACTGTGTAGCAAAGTAGGAAAATAGGTTAAATTAAGTTAAGGTTAAGGTTAAAATAGATGTAAGTTAGCATAAGGTGTAGATGTAAGTTAATTTGTAAGATTCTTTTTGTATGTAGATTGTAAAAAATTGCAACCCTGAGGGGAGTCAATAAATTCATCTATTAATAAAAAAGTCTATCATATCATCAAAACTTTTAGTCTCCTGCAATGTCTAATATCTTTATATGCGTACTTGAACTTAAAACGCTATTTAAATGAAAAGAGAAAATTTAGTTTTTCTGCTTACATTGGTAGCTCTAGATAGTTCTCCTTCGTAAATCAGAAAATCTAGCGAGCCGGTATAATAACTTTGCTGCGGCTGATTGCAAGTTCTGCCGCTGATATGTGGCCTACATCTGCACTGGCCGGTGATAACGTCGCAGGAATTCTCGTAAGAACCGCCGGGATCGCAGTCACAGGGTTTGCATCCATCATATTCTTCAGAAAGTCCCCAATATTCCGGTAGACATTGATTGCAATCGCGAGCAGTGACATAACGTTTGCATTTGCATTCGCCGGTTTTCATGTCACAACCTTGATTATCAACGGTACCCAAAGTATTACACGTACAGACTGCAATTGTCAAGATAATCGACTTTTGTGAGTGTCTCCAAAAAAGTTTTTTATCAAAATTTGCTAGATGTAGTTTATCAGAATAAACAAAATTCACAAACCTTGACATCCTTCAGGATTATTGGGATCAAAGTTCCAGAAACCATTCTTGCACCGGTCGCAACGACGTCCTTCGACGTTGGCTTTGCAATGACAACGTCCTGACTCATCACCATTAAGAGGATCGGTTCTTGAATCGCATATACCATCATCCAATGATCCACTCAAATCACAATTACAAGCTGTAAAGAATAAACATTATATGACTTTACTTTTTACAATATCTTAAATTTATATTACATTCTACTGTCGCATTGCAATATATAATGTTTTTTATTAAAAATAAAAAAATACAAAATAAAAAATAAACTTTATATATGGAAATAGGCCTATATTATCCGATTATAATAATTGATCACAAATCTATATGCTTGTATTCGTATATAAATCAATGCAATGAACGCTAGATCTAGATTATCTTATTTACAAAGTATAAATATAAAACTAATAATAATATTCTATAGTTTTTATGTTAAAATATAAATATACGTTATATATACATATTTTATCAGAGGACTGAAGCCCCTCCCACTGCCTAATATTGACAGCTCACAAGAATTCGCTCTACCCACAAGCTAACAGACGCGAAGGGCAAGGGGAATCGTCGGTGGAGATATGCCCACCGCCTCGACAGAACCTACCTAGTAGAGGAGATTGGGTGAAGCGGACGGACGATTCCCCTTGCCCCTCGCGTCTGTTAGCTTGTGGGTAGAGCGAATTCTTGTGAGCTGTCAATAGTACACGTGTATAATAGATAGTGTGTGATACACAAACAAAATATTTACTTCTCAAATGTACACGGTGTCAAAAAACGAACGTTTGTTTCAGAACTTTGTTTTATTTATAACTTTTTAATGAACAATGAGCGACGGCTAAAATCTTTTGATTGTTATTCAAGGACATGTTCTTGACAACATATTAAGTGAAGTAAAAAGTTCTGAGCGTTTTCCTCTAAATGTCTTTAGTGAGCCATATCTCACGATGTATACATCGCATCGGGTCATACGATACGGCGATTGAAAGGTGACATTACGCTTCAAAAAAGTTCTGTGACAGTTTTGTGTTTGGTCAAGCCAGTTGTGTGTTACAGCGTTCCAAAATGGAGGTAAAAAAAGAGAAAATTCGATACATTCTTCAGTACTACTACGACCAAGTAAAAAGGCGGAGCAGGCGGCCAAAAAAATTTGTGCTGTTTATGGACCCAATACAGTATCAAATGCAACAGCAAAGCGGTGGTTCCAACGATTCCGTTCCGGTAATATGGACGTCGAAGATGAGCCACGCTCTGGTAGGCCAATCGTCGAAAATGTCGATAAAATCATGGAAATCGTCGAGTCGGACCGGCATGTGAGCACTTATTCCATTGCCTAGAAACTGAAGATTAGCCAGAAAACCGTTTGGAACCATTTGCATAAGGCTGGTCTCAAGAAGAAGCTCGATGTATGGGTGCCACACGAATTGACGCAAAAGAACCTTTTGGACCGAATTGATGCCTGCGATTCTTTGCTGAAACGTAACAAAATCGACCCATTTTTGAAGCGGATGGTAACTGGCGATGAAAAATGGGTCACATACGAGAACAACAGCCGAAAAAGATTGTGGTCTAATCGCGGTGAGCCAGTCCAAACGATCGCCAAGCCCGGATTAACGGCCAAGAAGGTTTTGCTGTGTGTTTGGTGGGATTGGAAAGGAATCATCCACTATGAGCTGCTCCCATTGGGCACTCAATTCGGACCTCTATTGTCAACAACTGACCAGATTGAAGCAGGCGATCGACCAGAAGCGGCCAGAATTGGCCAATAGGAAGAGTGTTGTGTTCCATCAACACAACGCTAGGCCACACACATCATTAACGACGCGCCAGAAGCTCCGAGAGCTTGGATGGGAGGTTTTATTGCACCCGCCGTATAGTCCAGACTTGGCACCAAGCGATTATCACCTTTTCAAGCATTTGCAAAATTTTCTTGATGGTACAAAACTGGCCTCAAGAGAGACTTGTGAAAATGAGCTGACCAAGTTTTTTACCAATAGGGACGAGGACTTCTTCAATCGCGGAATTATGAAATTGCCTTCAAAATGGACAAAAGGTATCGAACAAAACGGCGCATATTTGATCTGAATCGGATAATCCTAACTATGTTAATTTCATCGTCAAAATAAAGCAAAAAAACGCTCAGAACTTTTTACTTCACCTAATATGTTAAGATCAAGGTCATCGGAGCTAGGTCCGTTTTTCTGAACATTTACCAATATATTTTTTTATGTTGTGTTATTAACGTGCCCTTTAACCGATCATTCAATTTTTGCGAGCACGAACTTTTCCTCTTTATTGCCTGTTCTCCTTGTCGTCAACTTCATATTACTTCTGTCCGTTTCCACTATCTTTAATTAACTTAATCGATCAATTATTCCGTTGGATCCAATTAATCATATTGGTTGATTGACTGAAATAACCAATCGCGATTAAACTAGCAATCGATTAATTAAGTTAATCGAAGATAATGGAAACGAGCATTAGAGTCTAGCCAATCATTGTATCTGTTTTTATTGGTTCTCCTTGCAAGTTCCTCAAAATGGCAAAACCAATTACAACGCAGAGATCGTTATTTAAGTTGATTGTTATTTAATTTATCGTTATAAATTAAATCACACGCGTGCGCATACACACACACACACACATACATACAAGAAATAAGATAAATCTAATTTTACAATTGATCATTAATAAAGAACCATCTCGAGCTCTTAAAGTATCAAACTAATAAATATATGTAAATCCGGTCAGGAAGAGCCGATCGCAGAATGTTGTGCGGAAAAATGTGCGTATATATCTGTATGCCTACATTTACAATATACAGGATGAGTCATCTGAATCTATCACCTCCAATAACTCGTTTGTGTGGCCAGGAATCGAAAAAAGTTTTATATAAAAGTTGTAGGGTTTCGAGGGGGAACCAAAATGGCGTACATTCCAACTTTTGATTTTACCCGAAAGTAGGTTACTTCAACCGGAAGTGGTTTTTTAAAAATGGAAACTCCCCTTTCTAACACCGGAAAATGAAAAAGCGGAAAATTTGACGTTTAGATATGACCTTGGCTGTTTTAAAATTTTCAAGATGGCGAACGAAGATGGCGGACAAAAATTTTAGTCAACCGATTTGCACCAAATTAAGTTTACGAGGGTTTTTGGGGTTGCTGATCACGAATCTGAAGTCAGATTTGCAAAATTTAAAATGGCGGATCCAAGATGGCGGACCAAGTTGGCGGACAAAATTTTTAGCCAAAATTAATAAAAATTACTACTCTTAGCACTACCCAGGAACAACGGCGTGGACGTGGTAGTTTTTTGTTCCCTTTGGGATGCTTTATTTACGTGAGTCCCCTTGCCTCTCACTATCGGGGTGCTTTATTTACGTGAGTCCTCTTGCCTCTCACTATTGGGGTGCTTTATTTAGTTAATGTGTAACTTCAAACAGTTAATTCGCTAAGTAGTACACTTAGCGAATTAACTGTTCGAAATTCCGTCCATGTTCTTGAATGCATAGGTCGATACGCCTTCTGAATGATGTGACTGTTCTCAAAAGAATTTCTTGAGATATTGCGGTACAAGCAGTCCGAATACGTTTCTTCATATTCTTCTTGGTTGTTGGTTTTTCGCTATAGACAATATTTTTTAGCATTCCCCACAGGAAAAAATCGGGAGAAGTTAAATCTGGCGAACGAGGAGGCCACGCGACTGCGCCCAATCTCCCAATCCACCTACCATTGTATCGATTATTCAAATAATTTCTTACAATATTTGAATAATGTGCTGGCGCACTATCCAATTGAAGCCACATCCGTTCTCTGGTGAATAAATCAACGTCTTCCAATAGTTGCGGTAAATCGTCTCGAAGAAACTGCAAAACGTTTTGTCCGTTAACGTTTTCTTCAAAAAAATAAGGACCTATTAAATAGCCATTTACGATGCCACACCAGACCATTAAAGACCAACAATTTTGGAAATTAGTTGAACGAAACCAATAAGGATTTACATCAGACCAGTAGTGACAATTATGTCTATTTACAGTTAAGTTCCATTGCTACTGAAAGTTGCCTCATCCGAAAAGAGTACGTACCGGAAAAAGTTTTCATCTTGTTGGATCATTTGCAGAGCCCATTCANAAAAATTTACACGAAGTAAGTAATCATTAAAATTCAAATGTTGTGTCAACGTTATGTGATATGCATGAAATTTTCTCGCCTTTAATATTCTCGCAACTGTTCGCTGAGGTATGCTAATTTCTCTTTCGATTTGACGAGTGCTAATATGACGATCGAAATAAATTTTCGCTAAAATGGTTATAACACGATTATCATTAACATCATATTCATGATGTCGTGATCGGCGAACCATAGACCCATCACTTGTTCTCTGCGTAAGGGTTTTAATGGTTACCCTAGTTGGATGCCTTCTATCAGAATAACGTTGAGCATACAGACGTTCAGCTCTCGAAAAATTATTCCTACATTCCCCCAATATTTTGATCATGTCCACGATTTCGTTTAGTGGGTAGATTGTCATATTAAAGATAAGAAATTACCTGAGTTCTAAAAGTATTGATTTCTCAATAGATACAAATAAGCGGAGATATCGTTGCTATTTAAGCATTCACGTCTGCTTTATGATTGCAGAATGATAGTCATGGTCATAGCAACCTAGCGGAAGAGCTACATACAAACTAGTCGCGCATAACTATGAATGTCTGAAAGTCAACCGATTTTCACCAAATTTTGTACACGGGAGTTGGTGGGGTTATAACACGATTATCATTAACATCATATTCATGATGGTATCGACCTATGCATTCAAGAACATGGACGGAATTTCGAACAGTTAATTCGCTAAGTGTACTACTTAGCGAATTAACTGTTTGAAGTTACAAATTAACTAAATAAAGCACCCCGATAGTGAGAGGCAAGGGGACTCACGTAAATAAAGCACCCCGATAGTGAGAGGCAAGGGGACTCACGTAAATAAAGCACCAAGATAGTGAAAGGCAAGGGGACTCACGTAAATAAAGCACCCCAAAGGGAACAAAAAACTACCACGTCCACGCCGTTGTTCCTGGGTAGTGCTAAGAGTAGTAATTTCTATTAATTTCGACTAAAAAGTTTGTCCGCCATCTTAGTCCGTCATCTTGGATCCGCCATTTTGAATTTTGCAAATCTGACTTCAGATTCGTGATCAGCAACCCCAAAAACCCTCGTAAACTTAATTTGGTGCAAATTGGTTGACTAAAATTTTTGTCCGCTATCTTCGTTCGCCATCTTAAAAATTTCAAAACAGCCAAGGTTATATCTGAACGTCAAATTTTCCGCTTTTTTATTTTCCGGTGTCAAAAAGGGGGGTTTCCATTTTTAAAAAACCACTTCCGGTTGAAGTAACCCACTTTCGGTCAAAATCAAAAGTTGAAAGGTACGCCATTTTGGTTCCCCTTCAAAACCCTACAACTTTTATATGAAACTTTTTTCGATTCCTGGCCACACGAACGAGTTATTGGAAGTGATAGATTCAGATGACTCACCCTGTATATATACGTTTACGTGTAAATTTTTACGTGAGTTTTATGAATTGAATTGTCAGTTCTTAAAATTACATAGGATGCTAATTTTGTATCACATATGTGAAGGACCCCGAATACAATTCAAAAAACTCACGTGAAAAATTTACACGTGAACGCATATATATAAATGTAGACATACATATATATACGCACAACATCCCGCGATCGACTCTTCCTGACCGGACTTACATATATTTATTAGTTTAAAACTAATTTTATTTTAAACGTTACTATACGTTATTTTATTTACTCTTGTGCTATTTATTGTATATGACACACAAAACATGAATCGGTTAATGTACATTATTAAGAGGAGTGGCAGTGCCTCGCGCCAAGTTCACGCGCAATGAAGTGACGCTCGAACTGTGCGAGCACACAATGCCTGTTATATGCGAGATTCATGTAATTGAAAAATGGAAAAATTTTTACGGGGCAATACTACCATGATCAAAAAATAACCGGAATTTTTAATTTAAACTTCGCGGGCTTATCGGTTTAGAATTCTGTTGTTTGTGTCACGTTGGCAGCACTGTTACGGACACCCATGCCAAGCTTCTGCTTATCAGCTGTTTATTTACCTTTATGACAGTGATTTCTTTACATCAAGTTTTTACGTCGTGGCGATTTTTACAATGGATTCAAAACTGGAACAACGTTCTTGCATTAAATTTTGCTATAAAAATAAAATTAAGTGTTCCGACACATTAAAAATGTTACAAAAGTGTTACGGTGACGATACTCTATCAAAAACACAGGTGTACCAGTGGTATGAACGCTTTAAAAGTGGTCGTGAGGCTGTTGAGGACGATGCTCGTTCTGGGAGGCCATCGACATCGAAAACTGATGAAAACGTCGATGAAATCCGACAATTGTTGATTAAAAATCGCAAATTGACGATAAGGGAGATAGCTGAGACCACCAACATATCATTCGGATCCGTACGCGAAGCTATCCGCAAAAAAAGACCTGCTTTGTGGGGCAACAACTCGTGGATTCTCCATGACGATAATGCGCCATCTCAT